ACTGACTCACTCGCAAGCCCAAACCGAAGAACACTCTATGAACACAGAAACTTCTATCCGAGCGACTTTACTTATCTAAAGTGAATTAACACTCACTACTATTCTAAGTAAATAACATTATCGAACGAACTCAACATTTACAGTCAAAGGTAGACTACTTTGTAATGACTCAATTCTAAAAACATAATATCGACATTCTAAATACTAATTGCAATTTTCTAAAAAGACTGTAACACAGATACACAAGACATAAAAAGGACATACAAAAAACTTCAAATATTACGAACATACCAACACATTAACATCTTCAAAAATATTCTGTACATATTATCTTATTTGTATAGAAATGGATTTATTGGTTTTGAATTGCATGCATGTTTTTGTCTTGTTTATATCGAAATTGTTTATTTGTTGTGGATGCAGAAAAGTTCACGCAACCTGACATAAAAATTCCTTCTGATTTATCTCAATGCTACAACAAATTCCTTAGTTTATTCTGCACATCCCCAACAAGCGTAATGTTTAGCGGTGTTCTTAAAAGCAAAATATGGTGGTTTATATAAACTCATCTTTTTCATGTCTTTTACTTTGGCGACAACATTCGTGATTAGTTTCTTTTTTTATTGTGCTTTATATTTTTTGAAGGGATTTGTTTCTGGGTCGCATATAATGCTCAAAGTCCTTGCGCAGAGGCGAATGTTTTTTGTTTATATATATTTTTGGTTTTGTTTTCTTAGCGTTCACACCCGGCTGATATGTAGAGTGACTCAGAAAAGAACCTAATTTGAAACAGGATATGGCACTTAGATCTTAAACACTACGCACAGATATTTTAATCTCATATGCAGAAATACATATTATTTTATATGAGTATTATTGTAGGGGAGTTAAATATATATAAACACCCTAACATTTTTATTATTTTATATATACAAAAAATACTCGTAAGAATGAGAAACCGCAAGACGTGGAAACAACGAAACGAATATTATTATCTGGTTGTTATGTAGCGTTGGAGAAACGAGAGAGAGAGAGAGAGAGAGAGAGAGAGAGAGAGAGAGAGAGAGAGAGAGAGATACTGAGTAAAATTGTGAGTTTGAGGTCAAATGTAGATCAAATATGGATCGGAATCCGACAACAGGATAAGATAAAGAATAAGCAAAGCGTACAGTCTATCTCGTATGCTTATATATATATATATATATATATTGGTAAAATAAATTATTGTAAAGGTACCTTAAAGTGGTCTGTTTTTCATTAAATATTAGCTCTGTATTCACATTGAGCTCTCAGGATTTCATCCTCCTTGGAATTACCCATTCGGTTTACCAAGTTCTTCATAACTTTTATATATATATATATATATATATATATATATATATGTGTGTGTGTGTGTGTGTGTGTGTGTGTGTGTGTGTGTTGATATAATAGGAAAGAACTGTTAGATTGATGCTCCTAAGTTCTTTAGTATTTTTATTTTTTAAAAAAGCAGTGCTCGATAGAGAAGTAAAGCCTAAATTATAATTATTTTTTTAAAAAATGATTCCATCGCGACACAGAAATTACTATGTTTCCCAAACTGGTCATCCGTATTCAAGTTTAATTTCAATATTAAACCATAACTATTGGATCATTGTTTCACCCTCAAGCGATGTTTGGAATAACTAAGCAACGAAATGTTTTACTCATTTATAGTTTTGAAATGGAGATCTGGGGTTAGCTTTTCATTATCAAGGGGTCTCTGCTTTGATGAAAGTAGGGGTGTTTGTTATATGTCAAGTTTTTGAAGTCGTGTAACGTTGGGTTGGGGTCTTTATATTATAATATATGTGCGTGTGTGTGTGTGTGAGTGTGTGTGTTGTGTGTGATTGTGCATGTGTGTATGTCTAATGAGTATTCAGATAATTTAGTTGGAAAAATGCAAAAAGTGTGTCGGAGTTAACTCCTCCTTAATTTCCTAATTGTTCACTGGGGGTCGCTCTCCCTACACTATAAATACTGGGCGATTTCTTACCTCGTCCTCTTTTTCATTTCTTCATTTTCAGCGAACACATATAAAATGTAAGCTCTCGCAGAAGATTGCGTCTTCCCATTTGTGAGAGACGCCATGAACATTATACACACATACACGTACGTACGAATATTCACCAAAATACAAACTCTTTACGTTCACACACAAACTCAAATGTTAATGTCTATGTCCATTGTAAATTGTTGTTTAATACATATACTTGTTTGTTAATATCTCTCTTTCTCTTCCTCTCTCTCTCTCTCTCTCTCTCTCTCTATCTATCTATAGAGAAATAGATAGATAGATAGATAGATAGATAGATAGATAGATATCGGTCTTGTTTTTCTTTACACTTCTTTATGGTGGATTCATTCTCTGAGTCCGCCATGTTTTTGTAGTGAACCTTCTTCCAGCAGAAATAAACGCACGTGTTCCTAATTTAACAACACTGTTCGCTACAAGTGTCTGGGGTTTTCTTATCTAGAATTTTTGTTGTATGCTAAAAGATAAATGTTGCTATTATGACCTGAAAAGGAAAAGTTGACGAAATTTTCGTTGACGCCCGTGTTCACGACCTGTTCGTGTGAACTGCTTGTCTGATAGTGAGATTGTCATGTGATTGTGTGTTTAAAGGAGAACAGTTGGCATGATTCTCATTGGTTTAGAATGAGTGGATTAATGATAATTTTAATTGTTATAATTATTTTATTGTAATCATTTTTGGTAATATAATTAATTTTTAATCATTTTTATGGATACAACACTATATTAGTAAACTTGTCATTGCTACAAATTTTATCTGCAAGATCTTTTCAGTGACACTGAGTAGAGTCAAATAAATATATACAATTTGTAAATAAAATACTTGCAATTTTAAGTTATTTCATTTATTTGATTGCCTTACTTGGTCTTGTTAAAAACAAATGTCTGTTTTCGTTCATTTTATATGCTGTCGATAATGTCAGTTTATAAACGAGTGATTTGAACGATTCTTACTGTTTTTTTTTTTTTGTTACAAGACCATATGAAACAATCCATTTTTGGCCAAGTATAATTTGGTGTAGAAAATTCTGATTTTGTAGCGAATCTGTGGCGATCATCATCACACACACATAGACCCTCATAAATTCAAATCTTCAACAGCATTCATTCATTGGACAGGAAGCAACGCTGCTATCTTTGGCGACAATTTTAAAATTGCTATATTTTCATATAGTAGATTTTGTGCATTTTTGGGAGAATCGGCTCCCAGAAGTCTCCCCAAAGCTCATGCACTGTTTGGTCAGTATCGACCAATCAGATTCTCTGCATGTGGAAAATGATTCTTCTCGCGCAGCACTCCTGATCCAATGACCACCTATAAAAGCAAAAGAAAAGAGATGACGCAATAGTGAGATTTTAGCTGCCACAGAAATCCACGGCAGTTGAAGCTATGCGCCCATCTTCTCACTCAACTCTCAAACTGCATATTCTTTCACACTTACATAAATTTTCCTCTTGCACGGCAGAACTTTTTAAAAACATTTATAACAGACGAAAATAATTCTTTCTTCTCTTTCAGAGAACTTTAATAGACTTTGATAGTCAAAGAGAGACAACTCTCGTCTTACTCATTGCATGCTTTTTCGTACACATTCATACATTCATATTTTCGTACACCTTGTATGCATTGTTGAATGCAATTTATATATATATTGATACCTTTGCCTTGTCCATTTTTTCACATCAGTTTGGTTTCCTAAACAAAATTAAATAAATGTGGTGGAAGTCCGCCACAAATCATTGCTCGCTTTAAGTGGTTATTATTTCAGAAATTGAAAGATAATTAGGGAAATGGTAGAAGGAGTATTGGTAAAGCAAGTAGGAAGAAATACGAAAAACTGAAATTTCGCTTCTAAATTAAGATTAAGTTATTACTACTGTTTTGTTTCTTGTTACTGCCAGAATTTGTTCTCGCAATACTTTTACTTTTGATGTGGAATCTGTTGCATTTACTTTCACGCAAATGGTCTTGAGAAAGACCTAAATCTATTCCTTCTCCTCCAGTTAGTTAGCAGGGTAGACTGGACGCTTTGGTGGCAACCAGTCTAAGAAAAAGAAAACAGCAGAAGACAACTAGAAACAATTCCATTGTCTTTTCACTGCATGACAATTTATGATAAATAAAGGAAGGGAATTTATGGAGGGCCATAATTGCCTCCCCCGTTCTAAATGTGCATATATACAGTGTAACCCGGATATAAGAGAGTCTCTTATATCCAGGTTTCTCTTATATCAGGGTTTGGTCTATTTTATATACATTAACATTAACACAGGCTCTAATTTGGGACCAGAGAAAATCTCTCTTATATCCGGGTTTCTCTTATATCCGGGTTACACTGTATATTATACACTCTTTTGCTCTCAATTGTATTTGCTGAGTCGCTATTGGATATTATATTATCTTTTGTTGGTATGTAAGCTTCTCAAGAGAAAACAAAAAGCTGTGTTCATGCATGTATGCGTACGTGTGTACAAAATGTAGAACACCTATTGTTGGATGGGAAGCATTACAACAGTAATAAGCTGTCAAACAGTTTTAGTAACCGAGGTATTAGTAATGATTTCATATTTCACTTTTATTTCTGAGAAAAGTGGCTGTGGAAACAGGGGGGATAACATATATAACTTCGCTTCCTAGGTAACGCTCTCCACAATTGAAATCACGAAGAGTCGTTGGGTGCACGTGTGGTTGAAGCGGCCGGACAACTAGTTTCAATTTATTTTACTTTGCATTTTTCATAAGAAAAAGAAAAAAAAATAATAAAAAACTAGTTGTGTTTCACTTTATCATAAACCACGTAATCATTTTTTTAAATAATTAAATTTTTTTTTTAAAGAATAAATTTAAATTGCAATCTTCTATTTAATTTTATTTTCACCACCGCAGCAGCTGCCGTAAAAAAAAAAAAACTTAAGTCAACTCAACATAAAGCTTTTAAAAACTGCATTGTTTTTCTTCTGCCCAAGTAAGTAAATCGTTTTTAAATTATATTACACTTTGAAATAAGTTGCTAATAATTTTATTTATTTTTTTTTTGATGTGTGTTTAAAACGATTTTATTTTTGTTCCATAGAGTCTAAATAATTATTAGACTTTTGGTTTGAAATATTTCACAGGAAGAGCATTCCAGTTGAATAAAGTAATAAATAAAGTAATTTTTTTTTTACCTTGTAAAAATATATTTTTACGAAGAGAAGCTAAATTTTAATTTATTTAATCAAAATTATTTTTTTTATTTTGTTAGAAGATTTTTTTTTAATTACACTAAAAAAGATCTTTTTAAACATTGTCATAGTTAATTGTAAAATAAATTAATTTCTTAGGCTTTTTTAGTAAAATTCCCACTGGGATCGTTTTGTCATGAAAATTAGTTTTATCAAAACATTTATCTAGACATTTATAAAGTTTAAATAAACTTTATTCCTTTTGTTTAATTAACCGTTATTAGCATATTTTACATTTTTCATGTTAGATTCGACACATAGATTTATTTGATTTTTAGCTACATTCCCTAAGTAAAAAAAAAAATGTACATACTCTCTTATTTTTTTACTGTACTTTTCCACTTTTAGCAGTTACTAAGTTAGGCAATATGGAAAAAAGCTGAATAAAAAGTAACTTGAAATTGCAAGTTTTTATACAAATAAAAATTGTCTGTAAGGCTTAAAGCCACTGCGAAAATCTTGCAAATGAGATTTTTTTTGTCATTTCTGAGAAATTATCCGTTTTTAAAAATCTTACAAAATACATAATTATTTCGATGATAGAAAAATGAATTAAAACTTTTTTTTATCTTTTTAATTTGTATCGTTATGACTGACAATAATTTTAAAAAGATTAATTCACTAATATTTTTTTTTCTTTTTTTATGTATTTTGCATTTATTTTTTTAGTCTTCCCTTCTCTTTTCGAAAACTCGCATATTTGTTGTATTATCGATTTAAGCCATAGGATCTTTCTGGCCGACTTGGTAAAGCAAAGCTCCTAACAGCCACATGCAAGTTTCTTAATAAAACACTTTTCAAGCCACTTTTTTTTTATGCTCTACTTGTTTTTAAGCTTAAATTACAACTGCGGTATTAACCTTAGCCTAGTAAGACAACGATTGTAAAATGAAGGTTTGATTGTAGGCCACGATTGTAAGGACTAGTGAAAGAAAACTGAGAAGAAAGAGTAACTATTGTCTTGGTAACCATTGCGATGTTTTTTTTTGTTTTTTTTTTAAATTAACCTAAAAGTGTAATTATATCTAGACAATAAAAAAGTGGGTGATCATGGCCCTCCACAACTTCCTATTTTTTGTGACTTTAATTTTTACTCTGCTACACTCTCTTTTTGTCCTGGTCATCCATTCACTGACTCATTGCTGTATGCCTCTGCTTTTCTTGCCTTCAGTATCAGCTGTAAGTGTTAAACTTTCCTAACCTTCTTTTTTTCAATTTTCATTATACATCTAGAAATTAATCTCTTTCAGATTGTAATTGTAAGTTTCCTAGTAGTTCCTATATTCTACACAAAACTACCTCGTACATGTCCTGGTATTTCTGTAAAACCTGATGGTTCAGCAGTCTTTTCTGTAATGCCTTTATCTACTTATAATATGTCAGTTAGTCAATTATGTGCCATGTGTGATACACGCTTAGGCGATCATGTATCTTTTGATACATGACTGACGAGGCAGATTTTTTCCTGCAGTAGGTTGCCATTTCTTTCTGTGGTAGACTAGTTGCCATCCATCCAAGGCTATAGAATCTGGTCTATCCTGCTATTTACCCATAGCTGGAGGGAGAAGAAGAGGATTTATACCTTTCCCAAGAGTATTAGCACGTAAGTGAATGTAATGGATTCGACTGGAATTTGAACTTGACTCTCAGATTCCTCAATCCGAGCCGCTATTCATTATTTCACTGTGCCTACTTATAATATGCACTATTTACTAATTTTATTTATTGGTTTGTGGATTTTATGACATGTCAGCACTTTGGCTATTTAATGTCAAAATCATTAGGTACACATTGGTTGCATTTATACTTGGGCCTTTTTAGGCAGAGATTAATCATGTTTCTGCTTGGGCTTTTGAGTTTGGTGTTGGTTGCATTTCTGCTTGGGTCATATTTATACTTGAGTTCACAATTATCCAACTGGTAGTTGGCCTCTTTTGGAAAAAGAATATTAAAACCCTCTGCAGGGATGTTGGCACCTTTTGGGGTCCACTGACCGGGTGCTAAGCTTAACTGTTTGATACAAAGTAACTTGTGAGATGGTGGAGTATGACAGGAAGATAAACTCCCTATAAGATCACCTTTTATTGTGGTGAAGCACCTTTTCATGTTTATTATCTTTGTCAACTCATAAATCCAATTTTATAAAACAATTCAACATTACACATGCAACAAATATAATCCAATTTGAAATTAATTTACTGTACTGCAAACTTTTCTTAGGCCTGAAGCCATGTATATTATCAATACTACAGTATATCAGTATTATCGAAAATTTAATGTTTTGCATTTTCATTGAATAAAGCATTATTAGCCATTATTAATTTTTGACTAGGATTTATTTCATCTTAATTTCAGTTGCTTTACTTACAAAAATATGAGTAATAGTAATATTAACTTGAATTTTTATTATTAGATGATGCATTATTAATTTTTGACTGGGATTTTGTTATCTTCATTTTTTTTTTTTAAATCATTACACCACAAACCAGGTGATAAAAATCATTAAGACACAAGTGGATACTGAGTGTGAAGGAAAATGAGAAAACATTGAGGAGAAAGGACAATAAGAGAGACAGAAGATGACAATTGATGTTGCATTTAAATGTTTTGAAGATCGTAGTTGATGGAGAAGTAAGAAGCCAGAAGAAAATTTCACACACAAGAAGTGCAAGGATAGAAACTATTAGAATAGAACTTAAGCTAATATTGAGCAAATTTCATCAGAAAAATGAGACCAAGCTGCTAATCTAGTACTGTGCTTAAATTCATAAAGTCAAGGTGCCAAAAAATAAAGCTCATCAGAACAATTGCGATGAAAATATTGCTAGAAATAGCACAGGGAAGCTATGTTATGGCGATAGGAAAATGATTGAAGTTGAGGTGCCAGGTCAGAACTGAGAGCATTGCAGATTCTTCTTTGGATTTTGTCAAGAATCTCTAGATACGTAGCAGAAGCACCAGACCATATGTGGCAACGATATTCAATGGATGGATAAAAGGTAGACTTAGAAAAGTGAAAAACAGATTTAGGTGAGACACCAACTTTCTTCACAGCAGACCTAGCACTTGAGTTAATATAATAATTCCAATTCATATCAATGGAAAATTTTAAGCCAAAACGATGCAATGGGTTACTCTCTTCAAGTTTAGCAAAAAAGGTTCCCTAACACGACGAATAAAGCAGTTTTGCAGGCTTTATCATTTGTTTATTTTATCTTTTGAGAAAAATCCATCCGGGATGCCTTTATTTCAATGACACATTTTAGTAAATAATTAAGAAATTTCCTTACACCCTTTAATTTAGGCTGATAGCATTTTAGCTTTTACTGATAATTATTAAGAAAAAGTTTTAGCTACGTCTTCTAAACTTGGGTTTCGGCACTTGTAGTAAAAAGTTGTTACTCCCCAGTGTCAGGTATGACTTGACATTTTTTTTTTTTTTTTTTTTTTTATTAAGTACCTTGTTTTGTAAAATGTATGAAGAGTGTGAAACATTAATCTAGTAATTATAATTTTAAGTAACTTATATTTGTTGCTTGAGTTGACTTAGAATTTTAACCACAGTAATTATATTTTAAAAACTAGCCAAGATACCTAATGTTGCCTGGGTGTACATGGCTGCAATTGTATAACTGCACCCCCTGTATGTCCACATCCTGCTGTCTAGAAATGTTTGTCTGTGTCTCCGCTTGTATGCTTCATCCGTTGGTATACTAAACTACTCTCTCCTCCCATCTTTTTTCTGGTATGTTTTTCGCAAGTGTTTGATTGTTCTTAATAAGGCAATTCATTGATAAAACCTTGTGTGGTCATTGTTCAGGGTTAAATTGTTTCAATGTTTTATATATTCAGTAAATTTCCTATGGCTGTAACAACTTTCACACAGTATGGCATTGTTCACAAATTTAATAATTTAGCAAAAGCAGGGATGAAGCATCAAAGCTTGATTCAACTGCAAACACATGAACGCCTCACCCTCCTTCAAACATTTACTCTAAAGCTGGGTTTAATAAGAGGTTCTTTGGGAATTTTTCCCTTTTAATGCTTCAATAATCCTTATCAATCTTTGTATGAAAGGTTGTTTGAATGGCAATAGCTGATTTTGGATCAAGTTTGTTGCAGATTTCGTCTACTTAACTGAAATAATCTAAACCAGGGGTCGGCAACTCATTCAACCCCGCAGGCCAGATTGTGTTATAATGACGTGTCGCGGGCCGGACGAAGGCCATTAATGAAAAATTATGGAAAATTACATATGCAGACACCTGTCAACCTAAATATTTAAAACCATAATGAAAATAAACATTGAGAAATCAGAAAAACAAAAGAAAATCTAAAATTAAAAAAACACCTAACTAAAATTACTTTTCATCAAGGAACGTCAAAATACTTCAAAGTGAAAAAAATTAACCAAAGTGAAATGGATGAAATTATGACGTGTAGGTTTGAAACTGTTATTGAAAATTGTTCTACAAACGAACTACACACGCACACATCAAACAAAAACGAAGCACATATACCCATACATACGAGTACAAATAGTTGCAAACATATACACTTATGTACGTACACATGCGGTATCATCCACACATTCATGAAGCATGTATGTATAATGTGGGTATGTTTAACTGTCTTTAGATTTCTGCTACCTCGCATGCCAGTCCCTCCCTGGCCTCTTTCACTTTATCGTTCCTTTCACTTCTGTTATCTTTTAATGTAGCCAAGGGTCATAAAAAATATG